AATGGAGCCAAGACAGTCTCTTCAATAAATGGTGTTGGGAAAATTGGACAGATATATGCAAGAAAATGAAACTAGACCACCAACTTACACCATACACAAAAATAAACTCAAAATGGATAAAGGACTTAAATGTACAACAGGAAACCATAAAAATTCTAGAAGAATCCAAAGGCAACAAAATCTCAGACATATGCCGAAGCAATTTCTTCACTGATACAGCTCCTAGGGCACTTGAAACTAAAGAGAAAATGAACAAATGGGACTACATCAAAATAAAAAGCTTCTGCACAGCAAAAGAAACCATCAACAAAACAACAAGAAAACCCACTGTGTGGGAAAACATATTTGCCAATGTCATATCTGATAAGGGCCTAATCTCCAAAATTTATAGGGAACTCATACAACTTAACAAAAGGAAGGTAAACAATCCAATCAAAAAATGGGCAAAGGACCTAAATGGACAGCTTTCAGAAAAGGACATTCAGAAAGCCAAGAGACATATGAAAACATGCTCAAAGTCACTAATCATCCGAGAGATGCAAATCAAAACAACAATGAGGTACCATCTCACACCTGTCAGACTGGCTATCATCAACAAATCAACAAACGACAAGTGCTGGAGAGGATGTGGAGAAAAAGGAACACTTGTGCACTGCTGGTGGGAATGCAGACTGGTGCAGCCACTATGGAAGACAGTATGGAGTTTCCTTAAAAAACTGAAAATGGAACTCCCATTTGACCCTGTGATCCCACTTCTAGGAATATATCCCAAGAAACCAGAAACGCCAATCAGAAAGGATATATGCACCCCTATGTTCATAGCAGCACAATTCACCATAGCTAAGATCTGGAAACAGCCTAAGTGCCCATCAGTAGATTAATGGATTAGAAAACTGTGGTACATCTACACAATGGAATACTATGCTGCTCTAAAAAGGAAGGAACTCTTACCATTTGCAACGTCATGGATGGAACTGGAGAGCATTATGCTAAGTGAAATAAGCCAGTCAATGAAGGAAAAATACCACATGATCTCACTCATTCATGGATAATAGAGACCATTATAAACTTTTGAACAATAATAGATACAGAGGCAGAGCTGCCTCAAACAGATTGTCAAACTGCAGCGGGAAAGCCGGGGAGGGTTGAGGGGCAGGAGGTAGGGGGGTAAGAGATCAACTAAAGGACTTGTATGCATGCATATAAGCATAACCAATGGACATAAGACACTGGGGGATAGGGGAGGCTAGGGGACTGTCTAGGGTGGGGGGATAAAATGGACACATATGTAATACCCTTTGTAATACTTTAAGCAATAAATAAAAAAAATTTTTTTTCATGCTTTTTTAAAATATATTTTTATTGATTTCAGAGAGGAAGGGAAAAGGAGGGAGATAGAAACATCATTGATGAGAGAGAATCATGGATTGGCCGCCTCCCACATGCCCCCCAGTGGAGATCAAGCCTGCGACCCAGGCATGTGCCCTTGACCAGAATCGAACCCTTTGGTCTGCAGGCCAACACTCTATCCACTGAGCCAAACTAGCCAGGCTTTTCATGCTTTTTTATTGACTTTTAGAGAGAAACGGAGAGGAAGAGGAAGAGAAACATCAATGTGAGAAGAAAACATATATCAGCTGCCTCCTGCCTATGCTCTGACCAGGGATTGAACCCACAACCTAGGTATGTGCCTTGACTGGTAATCGAATCTGCGACCCTTCCATGTACTGGATGACACTCCAACCGAGCCACACTGGCCAAGACCTATTGTGGTTTTTTAAAAATTGCTTATTGTTTTGTTTGTTTTTTTGGTTAATCCTCAACCAAGGATATTTTTCTCCATTGATTCTTAGAGAGAGTGGAAGGAGGGTGGGAGGGGAAGAGAAAAACATCAATGAGAGGGAGACACATCGATTGTCTCCCCTCATTTGCCCCCAACCAGGGCAGGAATCAAATCTGCAACCCTCTAGTGCACAGGCTGATGCTCCAACCAACTGAGCCACATTGGCCAGGGCCTTTTTTTTTTTAATTGCTTATCACCTACAAAATGGATTTCAAGAGCCATAATGGGTGGCAATCCTCACGTTGAAGAACACTTTGGAGGGTCTTTAGGATTTCTTTCTGCTGTATTCTAAAAATACTAGTGTCTCATTGGGAATGTAGAAAAAAAATATTTAAAAAAACAGCCCCAGTCTTGCTGAATCCTCTTTGATTTTCCTCAGCTTAGTTATAAGTCAAATATTCTGCATCTTCAGATGAGTACAAAGTATAAAAAATGACCCAGGCCAGATCATCTCTCCCAAGATCTATAGTAGGTGGTAGCCTTGGTACATAGCATCTCTAAACTCCAGTACCCTCATTTGCCACTTTATTAACCAGTCTATTTTAAGGTCTTATAATTTCCTGTTAATGCATTTTGCCCATTGAATTCAAATAACTATTCATCCTATCTACTTGTTTACATTTAATCCTATCTAATAATAGCCAAACATGGTAATTGACTGTACCTTTGCTATGCCTCCCATTAGCTAATCAGCGCAATATGCAAATTAACCACCAACAAAGATGGCGGCTAATTTGCATACTGCAGGCAGGGTGGGACAGCGTGAGCCACCATCCAGGCCCCCGTGGGCGACCCCAGAAGCTGCCTGCCTGCCGCCCGTGATGGATCCGATCCCGGGTCGCAGGCGGGCCCCAGAAGCCCCAGAAGCTGCCTGCCGCCTGTGATCGGATCTGATCCTGGGCTGCAGGCCGGCCCCAGAAGCCCCAGAAGCTGCCTGCCTGCCGCCCATGATGAATCCAATCCTGGGTCGTAGGGCGGCCCCAGGAGCCCCAGAAGCCGCCTGCCTGCCGCCCATGATGAATCCAATCCTGGGTCGTAGGGCGGCCCCAGAAGCCCCAGAAGCCGCCTGATATGGCAGTAACTATATCAGTAAGCACTCTGAAAGTCAGTGGCATAAATGCACCAATTAAAAGACAGATTATGAGGGTGAATCAAAAACAAAACCCACTTTAAATATAAAGACACATATAGATTAAAAGTAAATGAATTAAGCTGCAGCCTGTTTTGCTCAGTGGATAGAGCATTAGCCCGTGGACTGAAGGGTCCCAGGTTAGATTCCAGTCAAGGGCATGTACCTCAGTTGCTGGCTTGATCCCCAGTCCCTATCAGAGCATGTGCAGGAGGCAACCAATCAATGTGTCTCTCCCTTTCCCTTCACTCTCTCTAAAATTCAATGGAAAAATATCCTTGGTGGAAGATTAACAAAAACAAAGTAAATGGATTAAGTAACATTAAAGAGATTATAAGAAAAATATATCCCAAATTTTGTTAGTTGTATAATGATTATGTTTAAACTAGAGGCCTGTTGCACGAAGAGATTCGTGCAATAGGCCTTCCCTTCTCCTGGCTGCCGGCACAGGTTTTCCTCCGGCACCCAGGACTCAGGCCTTCGCTCCAGCCGAAGCCGCCTTCCATCTTCCGTCTTCGCTGCTCCAGCTCGCCTTTACAGTCTTCCCTCTGCCACTTGGAGCCTACGTATTCAAATTAACTGCCAACAAAGATGGCGGTTAATTTACATATCACACTGATTAGCCAATGGGAGGCATAGTGAAGGTACGGTCAATTACCATGTTTGGCTATTATTAGATAGGATTATTAACGCCTAAGAAATTGGGTGAAGGGTAGATATAATATGCTGTAGTATTTTATAGTTTTTTTACATGTATGAGATTATTTCAAATTAAAATATTAAAATATTAAAAATTAATAAAATATTAATTGAAATGTATCTGCATTACATGAAAAATCTCCTAATTGTTTCTAGCATAATTTATTAAATTGTGCTAAAATTTACAAGGGTTCAATTAAGAAATATCTTAATTCTAAATGACATAATAGAAAATATATAATAGTGCAGTTATAAGCACTTATCTGAAAATAAAAATTTAAAGAAGTGAATTTAAAGAAGGGATTAGCCAAAGAAAATATATGCACAACCCACGGACACAGACAATAGTATGGTGATGGCCAGAGAGAAGTGGGGGGCAAGAGCTGGGTAGAGGGGACAAAAGGGGGGAAATAGGGACATCCTATATAATAATAATAAAAGGCTAATATGCACATTGACTGAACAGCAGAATGACCGGTTGCTATGATGCACACTGATACCAGGGGGCAGATGCTCAATGCAGGAGCTGCCCCCTGGTGGTCAGTGCACTTCCACATGGGGAGTGCCACTCAGCCAGAAGCTGGCTCATGGCTGGCCAGTGCAGAGGTGGTGGCAGGAGCCTCTCCCACCTCCATGGCAGCACTAACAATGTCCAACTAACTGTTTAGACCTGATCCCTTGGGGGCCTAAGCCTTTAGTTGGACATCCCCTGAGGGCTCCCTGGCTGCCAGAAGGATGTCTGACTGCAAGCTTAGGCCTGATCCCTTGGGGAGTGGGACTAAATCGACAGGTGGACATCCCCCAAGGGGTCCTGGACTGCAAATGGGTGCAGGCCGGGCTGTGGGACATGCCCCCCCCCCCATGCACAAATTTTTGTGCACCGGGCCTCTAGTATGACAATATATGGCTATGTAGACACATAATACATACGCCAATATACATATACATCTGTACATAGCTACATACATATACACAATAGTGCCCTCAGGCTTTGTTATATATTACAATTACCTAAGGAGCTTGTTAAAAAGTGGAGATTCTTGAGCTCCAGTCTGTGAGTCTGGAAGATACAAGCCAGAGGTCTTACATTCTCAAAAAGCTCCCCCATCAGTGTTTTTATGCAGATGATAGACTCACACTTTTTGAAAAACAGTAGGAAGTACAATTTAAAATGGTATCAGATGTTAAATTATGAGTAGGATCCCTCCTTACTGATTGGTAGGGGACAAGAAAAAGTAGTCAAATTTGACTGAGATTCTGAGTCCAGGTAGTTAGGAGAGTAAAAGTAATGTTAACAAAGAATAAAAAAGACTGGGTAGAATAGGAAGATTGGTTTTTAAGCTGCTTTATTAATTTTACAACATGAAAAGAATATTTTTCCAAAAACTTGGTGAAATTGCCTTGCTGGACAAAGAGTTTTATGCTGAGACATAAACATTATTCAATTAAAAACTAGTAAGAGGAAACATCAAAAGGTTTACAGAAAAGTAAATCACAAAACTACTAGCTTTTGGAGTAGAGGCCACATTATTAACCTCAGTGAAAACCTTAGGATTTAAGGTATAAGGCAAAAGTCATAATGATTATCAGGTTCAGGAGTTTGGAAGCGTATAACATGTCTCATTTGCTGCTCCCTGGTCTTTCTCCTGATTTCCACCCGGTGCATTGCGATCTTTTCTACATTATCTCCCACTTCATTGTGATCAACACGCTTGTTAGATATGGCCCGTCGAAAATTTGGGACAAGTCGCTTAACCCACCCCAGCCTGACATTTCCTCCAGGCTTCTGGGCTTCGCCTCCTCCCAAATTGCGTGATTCCTCCTCATTCTGCAAAAGGGCCTGGTCCGCTCCTTCGTTTTCCTGGTGGGCCTTTTCCATGATGAGATTTTTTACTGCTAGTTCCTTTTTGGACGCCATTGCTCCTAGGAGACAAGAAATAGAAGGGACTACTTCATTGGCGGACTGATCAGCACCGAGGACAGAGGCCCTACTATGCACCTTTCCGGATTCAGAGGCCTGAATTTCAAAGGCTTTTTAAAATTGCATTTTTCCCGCCTGAGAGGCTCCCTACGCCCTCTAGGGGGCCTCCAGTCCCAGCTCTCCCCCTCCCTCTGACTCCCCTCCCATCCCTCTCCCCAAACCCACCATTTTCCCTGCGATCCAAGCCCAGGCCTCTGCAGGCACCAAAACTGAGCACAGGATGGGGGTGGGGTAAGGCTTTGGGGTCTCAGGGCTTTCCACTCATTCCCGCCCCCCGACCACTGTACCCTGCACCCACCTGGGCCTATCCTTGCAGGCGGCTCCTCCTCCCGATTCTCGCCTGGAGCGCGCGGCCGCGACTCTGGGACCCGAAGACCTGCAGGGGCCGGCGAGGGGGAGCGGGTGGCGCCGCAGCCGAGCGCTGGCCCAGCGGGTGCGCCCACCCGCCCCGTCCGCCCCGCCACGCACGCCCCCGGCCCGCCCCGGCCTCTCGTTCCAGCCGCCCCCACCCCGCGCTGCCCACCGCGTTCGACACCCAGAAAGACGGGGGTGGGGCGGGGGCCCAGAGGCAGGTGTTTCCCGAGGGTCGTCGCCGTGGGCCGCCCAGCGCGCCCCCAGGAAGCTCGGCGATTTCCGCAGACACACGCGCGCCGCGTCGGGGCGTGGGGGTTGCGTCTCCGAGGCGCTTCGCCCGGAGCAGCCCGACCCCTCGGAGGCTCCCCCGGCCAGGTCCGCTCGCCACCGCCGCCCCGCCGCCACCCCGGGCGCCGCTCCGGGTCCCTTACCTGCTCCGCCTCCGCCTCCGCCTCTTGGGGCTTCCCGGGCCCGCGCGCCCTCAGGGCCACCGGGCGCTGCAACCAGAAGGGTACGAGCCTCCGTGGAGTCTGGTGCTGGAGCTAGACGCGCGAGTCCAAGGAGGCGGGTCACGTGGGGCCTCCGTCACAGAGCGCGGCGCCGCCCCCGTCCCGCCCCAGCCTGCTCCGCCGGGGGTGGGGGTGGGGGGTGGGGAGGGAGGGAGCCCTGGCTCCTGCGCGCCCCCTGGGGTCCCTTGTAACAGAGTCAGCTCCGCCCGTTCTCCAGCCGCCATCCCTTTGTGGATTCCTGGGTCCCTGCTGCTAATCTACTCAGGGGCCTGGTGGCCATTCCCACTGCTTCTCTGGGGACTTGCCTCTTTCCTCCTTTTCTCCCAGTATACACACCTTAACCCCCCCCTCCCCCCCCCCCCCCCCGCCCTGCCAGGACTCAGTTGCAAACTTTAAGGGGATGCAAAAAACCTCAGTAGTAAAAATGAATCACATTTTGGTTTAATATTTTAAAAAAACAACATTTATGCAGGAATATCTATGACGAGCAATATGCACTACCCACCTCTGATCCTCCTTTCTACCAATGCCCGCTGTTTTCTTTAACAAAAATGCGCTGGGAGACAGGAAATGAGTCAAGGACATGGATTTTTTTCTAATTATTCTTAATACCTTTGTTCATTCCTTTTTTTTTGTTTAAAAATGTATTCTCTTTATATAGTTCACATTAACTTTACCAGTATTAACTTTTTTATGGGAAATTTCAAACATATTAAAAAATAGAATAGTACAGTCCTCCCTGGATATCCATGGGACATTGGTTCCAGGACCCCAGGGGATACCAAAACTCCAGGGTGCTCAAGTCCCTTATATAAAATGACATAGTCTTTGCATATAACCTATGCACACCTTCCCACATAGTTTAAATCATCCCTAGACTACTTACAATACGTTATGCAATGTAAATGCTATGTAAATAGTTTATGCTGTATTGTTTAAGAAATAACAAGAAGTCTCTGTACATGTTCAAATGCAACCATCATAGGCCTAACAACATAGTGCATATCAACATAAGATGTTTACATGTCCAAAAATAATTTATATATATTTTTATATTATACTATATATTATATAATATATTAGTATTATATATTTTATGTGTTTTATACATACTTAGTAAAAGTATATAAACATATGTGGAAAGACACACCATCTTAGGAATATGGTTACCTCTGGGGAGAGGATGGGATAAATAAAAAGGGAGGCAAACTCAGTTATATTTATACTAGAGGCCCAGTGCACAAATGTGTGCATGGGTGGGGTCCAGCTGGCCTGCCCCATCAGGACTGGGCTGTGCTGGCCAGGGAGAGGGGATGTGGGAGGTTGGCTGGCTGGCCCCGCCCCTGATCAGGGTGGGTGAGGCTGATCAGGGGTGGGGCTGGCCAGAGGGAGGGGCCGTGGGCCCTTGTGGGACAGCCCCTCCCCCTGGTAGAACTCCTGGTCAAACTCCTGGTCAAACTCCCAGTCGAAGGGACAATTTGCATATTAGCCTTTTATTATATAGGGTCATGTGATTACTTAAAACTTAAATGGAACAGTCTTCATACATTTCAGACCATTTTTAATGGCATAAGCTATTACCAAGACTGCCCTGGACGTTGTTTCTCAGTGGTTAGAGCGTCAGAGGGTCCAGGGTTTGATTCCCAGTCAAGGGCATGTACCTGGGTTGCAGGTTCAAACACCAGCTCGGTTGGGAAGCATTCAGAAGGCAACCGATCAATGTGTTTCTCTCTCTCTCCCCTGCTCCTTCCTCTCTTCCACTCTCTGTAAGAAATCAATGAAAAAAATATCCTTGGGTGAGGATTAACAAAAAACAACAACCAAAAAACAAAACCTATTACTATTACCAAGACTTATTTTAAGTGAAAATCAGAATAGTATACATCATTTGATTCCACTAAACATATTTATAAATATAAAATACATGTGTTTCATTATATGTATATAAAAACCTTTTAAGTCTACACACTAACTTGTTTCACTTTTTATAGAATCCTGGTTGTTTATTGCTGCATATCAAGCAATGCCCAAAATTAGTAGCTTACTAGTAAAACAACAATTTTTTTTTATTATGTCTTCATCATCAACTCTTACAGTTCTGTGGGTTTATTGGGCTCAGCTGGGTGTTTTTCCATGGCATCCCTTATGAAGTTGCAGTTAAATCTCAGCTGGAGCGTTGAGCATCTGAAGACTTAAATGGGCTAGATCTTTTGGCAATAGATGCTGGCTGTTAGGAGGGAGCTCAGCTGGGGCTGTTGACAAGAGTGTCTAAGGTGTCCACATTAAACTAAGGTGTTTCAGTTACCTACTGTCATGTAAGAAACCACAACAAAATTTTGGAGGCAAACTTAAATAATACCAAATATTAATATCTTTCATGATTCTGTGGCTTAACTGGGCTTAGCTGAGCCATTTTTCTCTTTCATGTAGTTTTATTGGGGGATATAACAATCTGGAGACTCAATGGATAGAATATCCAGAGTGGCTCACTCATATGGTTGGCAGCCAGAGCTGGAATAATTCTGCTCTGCCTAATTAGATCATTTTCCACAGGAACAGAATTAGAAGCGTACTGTTCTGCCCTTTTCATGTGCTTTACATAATAATATACTTAAGATGTAATTCCACACCACTGTGTATAGAATTACATCTTTCTTTCATTTATTTATGTATTTATCTATTTATTTTAAATATTTATTGTTCAAAGTATTACATATGTTCCCTCCTCCCTCCCATTGACCTCTCCCAGCCTGCCCCTGCAATGACTGCATGGTGCTCTGACACATCTATGTTCTCTGTCATACCTATGTATTCAACTAGAGCTAAATTAATGGACATTTAGGCTAAACACATCTGCCCTGGGCTACGGAGGACATAGTGAAGAGCATGATAGTGCCCAGGTACTTAAGGGACTTATATCCTCATGGGTTTTATGCACAGGGAAGCAGGTCATTACAAAAGGAGGGATAAGTCTAGTGAAGGGTTACTTGTCTAGATTGGGTAGAACCCATAAACAGCTAGTTCACAGAATTCTGTTTTGGGCTATTAGGCACAAAGGCTGGGCCTACCCTGAAGAGATTTATCCCAGATGTAACATCCTGTAGAAGAAAGAGCACAGCTGAAACAGGAGACAGCCTGGCTGTTAATTCTCTGCCATGTACTCACTGAAGACTCTTTAGAAACATCGATGAGAGAGGAACATCGATCAGCTGCCTCCTGCACACTCCCTACTGGGGATGTGCCTGCAACCAAGGTACATGCACTTGACCGGAATTGAACCTGGGACCCTTGAGTCCGCAGGCCAACGCTGTCTCCACTGAGCCAAACTGGTTAGGGCTCACTGAAGACTCTTGAAGTTCAAATGTTGGGAGTTCCTTGGCGCCCATTTTTGGCTACCTTTCCCTGTCACATCATGCTGTCTCCTTAGGCAGCTATCTCATCTATACCTATATCTTCAATTGCATTCACTCACATATGATTCCTGCATTTCCCTTTCTAACTCAGTCTGTGATCCAAATATCTTGCTGCATTCCTAACATCTCTATGAGGTGTACACAGGTACTAAAAAATAAAGATGACCCATCATGTCCCTTCCAAAAAGGAGCCATTATGTGTTGCCCATCCTGGTTAACATCACTACCTATCACACCGATGAAGGGGGCAGAGTACTGAGAATCACACTGACACCTCTTTCTTATACCCCCTTACCTAATTCTCAAATCTTTCATGAGTTCATGTATTTGTTTATTCATGCATATGTTCATTACTTAGTAGAGAGGAATATTGCTGGCTCAAGGGAGAAGGAAGTTAATACACAATCACAGACCTGGAGTGTGTGACCCATTGCAAAGAGAAGGGCTGCCTTAGGAAGGTTTGTCACAGGAGAGAAAGAAAGTAGAAAGTATAGTTGCTGATGCAGATAAGTTGTTAAGTTTGGTGGTTGAAGCATATAGACGACGACTTGTGTGATAATATCTACTTTTCCAAAGAAACAAAAAGCCAAAAGAACAGTTAAGAATATTGAGGTGTGAGAGTGTTGAAGATGTTGTGCTTCAGTGGTCTCAGATATTGAGAAAGTATATTGATTGGAAATGTGGTAAGACCGCCAGCCAGGCCTGAGTACTGCCCCTACCCTGCAGTAGCCTTCCTTCTACCTTATCTCCCATACCACCACCACCCCTTTTCCATCAGGCTCCAGTCACACTGGTTTTTGTCTTTTTCTGGAACAAGTCATGCTCCCTCCTACCTCAGAATGTACTGTTCCTTGGTCTAATAGCAAAAGATCTTTACACCCACACAGTTCTTTTTTGTTGTCAAGGTCTTAGTTGAAAAGTCATGTACATGGCATGGCCTTCTCTAGTGATAAAGCATGGCACAACTCCAGGGATCATCATGAATGGTGTAGTCTAAGTAAGTCTAAGTAAGTGATGGTCTTTGAAGTAGGTAAATTGGGTAGCCCTAGATATCCTTGACTGCTCTCTCCATAGATATTATTTTCTATCTCATTTCCTTGTTTTATTTTCTCCATGGAACTCTTCACCCATTGAAATTACATTGGTTATTGTTTATTTTCCGTGTATCCAAAAGTGAATGTAAGCCCATAAAAGGAGGGCCCTTTCCTGTCTTGTTGCCTAATAGCCAAATTGCTATGTGCTACATGTCTGGGTTACCTACCAGATACACCAAAACAGAAACAGATACTTAAAGTTGAGTGGCAAAACCAATTGACATTGGAATCAGAGATGACAGTGTATAAAATAGTTAAATCTTGGATATTATCTTTTTAGCAGATCTCAAACTATAGGAAACATCAGAATCTATCAGGGAAATTGTTTAAAATACAGATTTCTGAGCCTCATCAGGTCTGGGGTAAGTTTTCAAAAGTTGCAGTTTACCAAGATACCAGCTGCTTCTAATAAAGGTGGCCTGTGGCTCATTCTTAGACCAATACATATTTTTTTAACATGGTGTTTTACTAGGAGAAACTGCTTCTATACCATTCATCTATTACTTATCATGCAGAGTTTTGTTACATCTTTATTTTGACTACTGGTGTAATTAATGGGAAG